ATGGTTTTTCTTGAATTAACTTGGCTCAAACTGTGAAATTTTCTAATAAATGTCTCCATCTTTAATCGAACTATCTTAAATATCTTTATAAACCATATGCAAATATCCTTGTAGTCATAAGAATCTAAAAAGCCCCGCTAAATCCGGCTACTGAATAGTGTTAAATATTTTATTTTTGTAATGCCTCATCTGTGTCATAGTGTAGGAAACGATTCTTATCAACGTTAAGACCTGGTTATCTTGTCGATAATCCCATCTGTTGCTGACTTATGGAAGATATATCAAGGGGATACCGATGAATAAGGAAAAAAGAAATGACACCAGTCAGAAGAATCTCCTTGATAAGTGTATTGATTGATATAGCTAGCTGCATAGGTACAAATATATACAATTTCCTATATGGACATCGTCACTGTGTTACACAGTTTCAGTAGTCTTTATCATTAATTAAGAAAATCTTTCAGATTTTAAAATAATTCAAAGTGAAGATCATGCAAAAAGTTAAACAAATTACGTAAGCAATATTATATCTAGACAAGACATTGTTTGGCATATCAAGACATCAGATGTGCTTACAGTATGCACAGGAAGAGGAATGAGCAGAAAATAGTCTAGTATTGAATGGAATGAAGGAGAGTTGGGTGGAATTTCAGGAGTGTGATTTCAAATGAAGGCCAAGAATGAAGAATAGGCTACATTACCTTCTATTGGAGAAGACTGTGGAGAATGATTCAAGCAGTTAGGATGCAACACGAATCTGTTAGTAACACCATCAAATTTATCCTCCTGAGTAAATAATACTACCTAACAAAGGTGCAAGTGGACTTCTTAAGGATTGAAGAATTTTTGCTGACAAAACATAAAGTCCACTTTCTCATAGGCAAGAAAAACAAAAGTCAGTTAATTGAACGGTAAGTTACTGAGGATTTAAAAAGACGGAGAATTGATCAGATGATCAGTGAGAATCTTTGCGAACACCTGAGATTAAGTGGTTGGATATTACCGAGATTGTATGAATTACTTAATATACACAAAGCTGATTTACCCCTTTACCAGATTCTAGATATATCTGGATCACCGACCATCCAATTTTATAATACTTATCACAACTCCTGAAGTTTATGATACTCACGAATTCATTGACTACAAAAAGACATAAATATGTCAAGGAGAAATATGATATCATTTGGACTTCTGTCAATTTTTATCAATGTTCAGCTTACAGAAACTATGCGTTTCACACGCAGATGCACTAAAGATAACAACTTAAATTTCTAAATAACTGACTGTCACTTGAAAGACTTATCACAATGACACTTGTTCAATATTCAATTTGCTTTCAGTGGTATGGCAAACAGATAGTATACAGGCAAACAGATCGTTTAATACGAGTTTCATCTGAGTTGAGGAATACTATCCTGCACCGTTGGACAGAGTTGATAGATAGTCTACCAGAAATTGTACCAATCAACACAATATCCAAAGTGGTCATTCTTTTTCACAGTGAAAGGAAAGCCTCCAAAGCCGTTGCAACATTGAGGCCTTTGGCATACACTATAAAACCCCTGACTTGTGTATGCTAGACATAGTTGTTCCGGCCACTCTTCAATCCCGGCCTTCATTTGAAATCACACCTGAAATTCCACCCAACCCTTCTTCATTCCATTCAATACTAGACTATTTTCTGTTCATTCTTCTTCCTGTGCATACTGTAAGCACATCTGATGTCTTGATACGCCAAACAACGTCTAGTCTAGATGTAATATTGCTTACGTAACTTGTTTCACTTTTTGCATGATCTTCACTTTGAATTATTTTAAAATCTGGAAGATATTTCGATGAAAGATAATGTGTACATTTATTTGTATGTATGTCCAACAGACTTCTAAAACTGTGTAAAACAAAGACGATGTTCATGTTCATGTTCATGAATTCAGTTGTCAAGGTGAATCTCTTCATTCATTTCCTTTCTTCTCTTTTTTTCACATATCTAGTGAATTTCCATAAGATGTCGAGGTATAATGTATTTTGAGGACTGTGTCGGTACACCTAGTTAGGCAGAACTACCACAGTCAATTAGCTTACCATTCACATTTTCTTTTCATTTGCATTATTTGTCCCTTAGGTTCCTAGTGAAAAATATAGGCTTCACTAGAACGTCTCCATTACACTCAATTATCTACAGTCTTCTCAACCTGCCTACACAAATGCCCACTAACTCTCATTGCCTACTCCAAACACATCCCACATCTTGTCACCCTCACCTCCAACACCCAACTCGTCGTTTCCCCTTTCCCTTCCCCCTTCACCTTCCAATCGAGATCCTCACCTGCCACATCATGTCCCCAAATGGTCTTCTCACTCACTGCATCCCCAATACAATCCATCCACACTTCCTTCCACTGCATATTTGTTGACACATAGCTTCTTGGTTGCTTCGCTGCCTGCTATACAGCCAGACAGACAGTAAAACAGACAGCCAGCTTGCCAGACAGACAGACAGCCACACAGCCAGACAGCCAGCCACACTTCCTTCTTGCTTATTCTTATCATTCTGGCCATCTCACCTTCAGTGTCAGTATCGAGTGAGCCTAGGCACTTGTTGAATGATGATGTATGTGTGTAGTTTGTTGGAAATGCTTTGCATAACACACCATCAAGTCTGTCAAGCATCACGTGGAAGCACTGACTCACTTGACTCATATTCGTGTTGAAAATCTCGATGTTGTTCACGCTTTTGCTGAGTGGAGTGGAGTGGAGTGGAGTGGGGTGGAGTGGAGTTGAGTGGAGTGCAGAAGATCTCCACACTAGTTTCAGGTGAATGAACATCTGTCTTGCTGTATTTCCGATGCTGGCTGGTTTTGACGTCGTCATGTGTGCCTGTGGTGCGTGTAGTTGAAAGGATGGTGCTTATGAGGGTGGGTGAAAGAGACTACTTCCTTTAAGTTTCTCCTGTTGATGGTGATTGGAGTTTGTTGTTGTTTTTGTTGGTGATGTTGGTTGGGTATTTTCATCACCTCTGTCTTCTCTACCTTCACTTGAAGTCCCATCTTCGTTTGCTGCCCCGCTTCTTCTGTTAACTTGTTAGTTTTTGTGTGTATATCTTCAAGTTTGTGCGACATCAGACACAAGTCATCGTTGGCGAAATCCAAATCTTCTAGGTTCTTTTCACCGGTCCAGTGTATCCCCTCTTCTCGCTCCTGACTGTTTGTTGCATGGTCCAGGCCAGTGCAATCAGGAATATCATGGGTGATATTAGACAACCTTGTTTTACTGCTGTCTTCACTTCAAAAGCATCACTGAGCTTCCCATTGTGAATTACTTGAGCAAAATACTCAGTTGGTGGCAAACTGTTTCGATAAAAACTTTAACGATTCCTTCAAGTCGATTGTCAAAGTATAAGATTTGATAAAATGATTAACAGCCTGCCATTTATTAGTTTTCAACAATCATTTTCATGTATGAACTTGGCAATGCCTACAACCAACAGGATACCTAACCGTTTCTACGGTTTAGTAGCCAGAATGCCTTCCTTTCCTTCTCTCTTTTAACTTTTTTGATTTTCTGAAAGCGTTTGGTTAAGATATTCTATTGTGTCTTCGTCTACAACTGCGATTCATTTGCACATTTTGATTAACCACATGGCAGCATAAGGATAACAAGTTCAAGTAGACATTAACTTCTCAATCTTATCTCACCCAAGTGTTTTTCATCCACGAATTCTTATATATTTCAATTATATCGCTATATTTATTCCGCGGTAGTTATAAGTGTATTAGCTTAGCTGATGTAAGAGTTCATTATGCCAGTGGTCAAAAATCTTATGTTGTATGATTTTAGTTCTATGAAGGCGTATTTCCTTACGTCTCACAGATTGAATTTCCTGATATAATTCTGAATAAAGCGTGAGTATTGGACCTAGGTTTTGTTCTTGTTGGCACTCATCGTCAAGGCCTATATGTGTAATCTCGAAGGAAGGGATGTCACGCCTGAGGTAAGAACTTGCGTTGCCCAGTGTTGCGGTCTCCAACGCGAAATGATTAGTAGAATTCGACTGGGTAATAAGCCTCAGAAATTTCTTCTACCGATATCTGTGCACAATCAATTAATTTCACTTCCATGTGAAGCACTCACTTGCTGATTACATTGTCCAGCGTGTCAGTGAAACGTTTACCAAGGGAATTATAACATCAAGATTGTCGGCAAAATATTTCTACAGCCATGAAGTAAAACTGATAGTAATAGTCAGGATAATTATTATTATTATTACCATCCTAAAACACCGGGTTTATACTGTACAGTCTTTATTATCATTAAAAACATAAGGTTTAAGGCTTATTTCAGTCTGATTTAGTTTACATCACACTTTTGAAAAACACTGAATAAAGTGAACTATCTAGTAATAAACAACATCTGTCAAAATATCTTATCCACTATCACCCTCTTTCACTCTCTTTGCATGACAATTACCTTTCTTACACAAGGTCTTCCCTTGCACACTATCTCTCTGTCTCTCTCAAACACACACATTCTCTTTTCAGTTATTTTTATGCACGAAAACTAATCAATAACAGTAGATCAATAAATATTCTATCATTCCTTCAGATCCCTTTATATGTATATCATCTTGCATACTGGGTACAGTGTTGTTAGCATTAACTGGTAAGTCAGTTATTATTCTAAACGCTTGTATCCTGGAGGATTGCATATTTGGTATTGGTCAGGAGGTGGTGCAGTAGGTGGTGATATGATGATATCCCAGTATGCATGACCATGTAGCTATTGATTAGCACAGAAAGATAACATAGAATTAGGGATATTATACAAGTAGACAATTTGATTGTATGCCATTGTGTTGTATTCCAATCGATTCCAGTATTCAACCACCATATGTACACAATTTAGTAAAAGGGGCATTAGGTAGATAGATCTGTTTTGATACATAGTTGGTTAGGAATGTACTTCATAACTATTGTGTGTAGGTGTTGATAGATGAATAGTATTAATTGGTTGGTTATATATGTCTTTATATCGAATGACATGAAGAAACAGTATCCCATTGAAGTACAGAAATAGGAATTAACAATTGTTTAATTCCATAGAGTTGAAAATTGTTTTATTACGTTAACATTTCAGTAATCTACGTGGCATAAAGACTAGAAGGTGAGTGTTAATTACCTTGTGATTCTCACAAAATGATTGTTAATTTAATATGTTACTGTTTTATATATGTATATATGTTCTGGATATAATCTCCACACTGACGGTCTACTGATAAAAACTTGAGCAATGTCACCTTGATTTCTGATAACCTCAACTTATAATGATCTTTTCTGTTAGACCAAATTATATTTTATGACATATATATTGAATAATCGTCATTTCTTAAACGTCCTAGATTTCGGGTGTTCATCGTCAAGTACCTATTTCCAGGGTGCTTGTAAACTTGATAGCGTAGTCCACATACAGTTTGCTTTATTTTAACTCTTCAGTTAATAGTGATCACTTATTCAGTTTAGGTGTATCGCCAATAGCTTAAATCGGTAGAGTTCTATACATTGCAGTATTCTGTCTAAGATTGTCAAGGGTAAATACAGAATTATCGATCCCAATGGATAAATGTTAAAGATAAGTAACCATATGATGATGGCCGGTGTACTAGGCTATGAGCTACATCTCTTGAGGGATTTTTGATTATCTGAGCCTTACTCAAATGCTTCGTAGCCGATGGAGGATGAAATCACTTAAAATATCCATTTGAGTGATCGTTTTAACACAATTTATAGAGAACAACAGCCTAATATATGATACAGAAGCTTGAATAAGTTAGTTTGTGTGGAATAATTTGACTCTTATTTCCAATAAGATGCTCTTTTTAAAAGGTAGAAGAAATTTACTTAACTTAGCGGGACATATTTGGCAAGAATTCTCAAATGAACTGAGTTCCATCTTTCTTCTGACTCACACACAATATGTTTTTGACCTAATATAGCATCATATTGTCTTAGAAACTCCATCTACCACTATGGTCATAGACATCACCGATGAGGCTGTTCAGTCTGAGAGCAAGAGGTTTTCCTTATCGAGGTTGTGCAGATGCATTTCTACTTACTGAAAATAGGCTGAAACTCAGATACAGAAATTCTTATCAGGTGCTGATAAGTGTACAAGATGGTCATATGAAACTTAAACGGGGTTGTTAGTCTCTTACCACTGGGATACAGAACAATAAACAGGCCGTAATCTGGATATTAAAAAACTAGAATACTCTTTATTATTGTTTTATTTGTCCCTCAGGTTCCTAGTGAAAAATATAGGCTTCACTAGAACGTCTCCATTACACTCAATTATCTACAGTCTTCTCAACCTGCCTACACAAATGCCCACTAACTCTCATTGCCTACTCCAAAACACATCCCACATCTTGTCACCCTCACCTCCAACACCCAACTCGTCGTTTCCCCTTTCCCTTCCCCCTTCACCTTCCAATCGAGATCCTCACCTGCCACATCATGTCCCCAAATGGTCTTCTCACTCACTGCATCCCCAATACAATCCATCCACACTTCCTTCCACTGCATATTTGTTGACACATAGCTTCTTGGTTGCTTCGCTGCCTGCTATACAGCCAGACAGACAGTAAAACAGACAGCCAGCTTGCCAGACAGACAGACAGCCACACAGCCAGACAGCCAGCTGGCTACACTTCCTTCTTGCTTATTCTTATCATTCTGGCCATCTCACCTTCAGTGTCAGTATCGAGTGAGCCTAGGCACTTGTTGAATGATGATGTATGTGTGCAGTTTGTTGGAAATGCTTTGCATAACACACCATCAAGTCTGTCAAGCATCACGTGGAAGCACTGACTCACTTGACTCATATTCGTGTTGAAAATCTCGATGTTGTTCACGCTTTATGCTGAGTGGAGTGGAGTGGGGTGGAGTTGAGTGGAGTGCAGAAGATCTCCACACTAGTTTCAGGTGAATGAACACCTGTCTTGCTGTATTTCCGATGCTGGCTGGTTTTGACGTCGTCATGTGTGCCTGTGGTGCGTGTAGTTGAAAGGATGGTGCTTATGAGGGTGGGTGAAAGAGACTACTTCCTTTAAGTTTCTCCTGTTGATGGTGATTGGAGTTTGTTGTTGTTGTTTTTGTTGGTGATGTTGGTTGGGTATTTTCATCACCTCTGTCTTCTCTACGGTCACCCTTAACCAATTCAAAATATTTTGGGATGTCAAACCTAGTAAAGAGTTTGTTAAACTATAATATAATTCCTTACACGTTTGTAAATTATTCAGATCAATAGCTGTCTACAATGGAATCAAGTTTTCATTGGATTTTTCCTCTACAATCACTTACATTGACCTTTTTTTAAATTTAACTTTTATTCTTTTTGTTCATAGAATCTTTGTGAAATTTTCGTTACCTTCAATTCAACTCCAAGATGTCAGACGATGAACAAAGGTAAGTTGAATGAAAAAATAATTGATAAATTTAAACAGCGTAATGAGAAGACGAAGATTATCTGAAACATGTGATGTATTAGCGCTATACATTTCGAAGAATCTGATCACACATGGACTTGTCGAACTAGTTCGACATTGCGCTAATACATCACATGTTTCAGATAATCTTCGTCTTCTCATTACGCTGGAAAAAATAATTGTTAAAAATGAACTTCAAGATTGTTCTTTTAAATTCTCTCATATGAAATGTTATGATAGGATGTTATTTCCGTCAGGTTTTATTACTGTGAAGTACTGTAATTGAGATGTCTATATGTCTCTTTATCTAGTCGACTAGTTAACTGAAGTCAGAATATTTTTCCAAATGAAACTTGTTTTTAAAATGAGTTTTAAACAGAAATGAGATGAATGGATGAATGTTATGAGAATATCATAGATTACTTTACTTAACATTTAAGAATGTTGATCATTGGTATAAGATCTTGATGGATAATCATCAGTTCATATCACATGATGTTGCATATTAGATTCTGTTCACAGGTAGTTAATAGATTCAGTAAAAACAAAGTTATTAGTTTACCTACTACAAAATATAACAGTTAAATAGAGAACAAGACAATAAACAGGATCATTTTCATTTGCCTATTTTTATTTGTAATGAGATTAACCGGAATCATAACCTTTAACTACATAATTCTCAGATCATTATGAAACGCTCTATAAACTGAATTTATCAGCATAATGAGTAACACAAAAGTTTAGGGTTAATCTTTTAAGATGGACACAAAGAAAAAATTGAGCAAACCCATAAAATTTCCATTTGCAATGACCATGGAAATTTAACATAACAGAATTAACCAATGAAAATTTCAATCATTATACCAGTATATGTAGAGGCATAATAAGAGTAAAGGTTTTTTTTTGATTTAGTAAGTGTATAACATTCCCCCACTTTGGTACTACTAATGAATGGTGGTTATCAGTAGAGATCAATTTGAAGGTTTCGTTCAATTTATGACTCGTCAGCCGGATTTACCTTTTTCTCAGTAAGTATTGTTGTTCCCCCCTAAGACTAGGGACTAACATATATTATTATTATTAGTCCCTTGGGTTCCTAGTGGAACATAGGGCTTCAGTAGCACGTCTCCAGTGACCTCTGTTCTCTGGTTAACTAGTTCACTAGTTACTAGCCGGTCCTAAGCCCAGGTAAAGAGGGAAGGTTGGGCATAGGGCTAGCAACCCTACCCCGTAAAACAAATCTAACCGCTAAAGGAACTTCAAAGCACAAACGATTTATAAAAAATAAAAACAAACTTATTCCCCGCTGGAATCGGAGAGGCGAAATGACGCCAGTTGGTGAAAGCCTGCCTTCGGGAAGCCAATTGACCAGGCCGATGTGTCTTCTCTCCCTCGATGAAAGCGAAAGTAAACTAACATATATTGCTTCAAATCAATCAACAACAGGAAATAACAAGTCTTAGCATCAGTTTGGCTGTTTGTTAGAAAAGTTTTAGCTTTTAAGAAATGAAAGGACTGTAGAACATTTAATGGATATGACCCTGAGGTTGGTTTCAAAAGTCAGTCGAATGTATTGACTTGAGACTATAAACTGTGTGTTTTTCGTATTATACTTGTCTTTTATCAATCAACAAAACTTCTACTATTATTATTCTGGGACTTTTTTTAGATTGTAAAAGAAATTTATTGAATAGTTACTTTGAAATCTCCAATTTTGTCTTCCTTACAGTTTATCTAAACGAATTCACCACATCTTTATCCATTTCCTTTAATTCTAGTGACATGTATAGTCGAATTATATAAAAAATAGAAAATGTAATCACCTGTTAATGCCACCAAGTCACTTTGATCTTATATGGACACAAAAGACTTAACTAGTCACCCAAATTTTCACTAGATCTTCTCACGTTTGTGATTAGGATCCTTAACGAAACGGGATATATTTGAGCAATTCTCTCAGTAGTAAATCTCTTGTATGTGAGTGGATTAGACAAACTGACTAATCACTAGCGGTTAACCACTGTCAAACTGTGTAGTTCTATGTACTGACTGAGTCTTCTGAATCAAGCTTGATTACTCTTAAATAGTCAGTTCTGTTCTACGAGAGGTTGATCGTGGCCTGAATGGCTTAGCGGTAGCGTTCATGACTGCGTCTTTGGATGATTTGATTTTATAACAAACGAGAGGACATAACTTCTCTAGAACTTGCTGATACACCTTACTGAATGGTGCATAACTTCTTGCCGATTACCTCCAGCCAAATAACACCCGTCAAAATGCACCACAGTAGTGAGACTTCTAGCTTGGTGGTCAAGCTTTAAAATGATCTGTAGAATTCAATTAGTACTTTGGACTGGACAGCATGAAACCGGTCGCTCTTCAGTGAGAAGATCAACAAATCTAATCCAGTCCTGCAGGATCTCCTTTGCCAACAAAATACCTCAGTCGTAACTTAGTTGGCTGTAGCGACGGGTGACGTAGGTTTGAGTTTTCTCAGACACACCAGTTTTTTTGAAGTTACACAAACACCTTGATGAAAGGTACTAACAATCACGAAATCTAGACTCAGTAGGGTATCATATAGATTTCCCCTGACTTTCTAACATAATTGAGGTCACATTATCATAGGGAGTGTAGAAGTTAGGCGAATACATTGCAAACATGATTGAAAGAATCCGGTCAGTATGTAGACTAAACGATATAAAGTAGGTTACTCTTTAGTGACCAGTCAATGTAAACTTCCTTAGTCTTAGACGGACGGTTAAAGGGTAAGTCAGTGAGTGGACATTTTTGAAAATGTTAATTTTACAATAACCTTCAAGTTTTTGTTTAATTATCATTTCACAACCAATTAATGGGCCTGATTAGTATTACTGATACGCTTGAACAGTATGGCTTATAAGTCTAAAATGTAAAACTATTTTCAGTCTTTATTTATCAATTCACATTTAATATCTCCTTTAAAATTCACACTTTTCATCTAAAAATATTGACTTCTAGAATGAGAAAAATCATGAATGAGTACAGTTGTATGATTCCAAAGTACAGAAGAGTTTCTGTTCTATGCCTGATGTTTTTGACTACTTTCCAAATATTTCTAGTTAAAAAATTGATCCTAAATTCTACTCTGAAGAGAAAGTCGATCGAACAGCATCCTGCATAAAAATATTACCTAATATATTTGGTTTTCTAATTTCTTGACGGTATCAATAAATAAGTGGTTTACTTGTTATACCTTAAATGGATTTGCTTTGAAAGACATATTTGGCTTACTTGCACACACATTTCAGATGTATAGGTAACCTAGTCACTTAGATACTTTAATTTATAGGCATCTGTATATTCATTGGTTGTCAAACAACATTATTCTAATGTGAAAACTCAACAGTACTTCAAGAAATAAACACTTCGTGTGTACATTTAAGATTCTAAGCTGAATTTTAGTAGTGGCTTGAAGAAGATACTCAACCAACATCACCAACAAAAACAACAACAACAAACTCCAATCACCATCAACAGGAGAAACTTAAAGGAAGTAGTCTCTTTCACCCACCCTCATAAGCACCATCCTTTCAACTACACGCACCACAGGCACACATGACGACGTCAAAACCAGCCAGCATCGGAAATACAGCAAGACAGGTGTTCATTCACCTGAAACTAGTGTGGAGATCTTCTGCACTCCACTCAACTCCACTCCACCCCACTCCACTCCACTCCACTCCACTCAGCATAAAGCGTGAACAACATCGAGATTTTCAACACGAATATGAGTCAAGTGAGTCAGTGCTTCCACGTGATGCTTGACAGACTTGATGGTGTGTTATGCAAAGCATTTCCAACAAACTGCACACATACATCATCATTCAACAAGTGCCTAGGCTCACTCGATACTGACACTGAAGGTGAGATGGCCAGAATGATAAGAATAAGCAAGAAGGATGTGTGGCCAGCTGGCTGGCTGTCTGTCTGGCTGGCTGTGTGACAGGCAACGAAGCAACCAAGAAGCTACGGGTGAACAAATATGCAGTGGAAGGAAGTGTGGATGGATTGTATTGGGGATGCAGTGAGTGAGAAGACCATTTGGGGACATGATGTGGCAGGTGAGGATCTCGATTGGAAGGTGAAGGGGGAAGGGAAAGGGGAAACGACGAGTTGGGTGTTGGAGGTGAGGGTGACAAGATGTGGGATGTGTTTGGAGTAGGCAATGAGAGTTAGTGGGCATTTGTGTAGGCAGGTTGAGAAGACTGTAGATAATTGAGTGTAATGGGGAGGTGCTAGTGAAGCCTGTATGATCCACGAGGAACCTGAGGGATAAATAATAATAATAATAATAATAATAATAATAATAATAATAATAATAATAATGGTAATACCCACTTAAGTAAAGACTTTTTTGGTTGGTTAGATCCAATCTCTCCTTCCTCACACACATAAATATACCATCCATTTTAGTTGGTAAGAACTGACCGGTAGTGATTCCTGGCTTATCTGGGTTTCTTGCCTGCCGAAATTCGTCATTAAAGCGTATTTGCCACCTCAAGGTAACTGATTTCCCTTAACAGATTTGAACCTGTATCACCTAGTACTTCAGTGAATAGAGTTATTGCTTAATATCAAGTGTATCATGATGGTTTGTCTCCCAGTTTCTTGATCACATTTCAGATCATTTTGGACTAAAGAACATACAGTTAGTTACTCTTCATAGAGCTATAAGTATGCTTATTATTCATTTAAAGATTGAAAAAATAAATGATTACATAGTTAGTTTCAGCAATCACTTTTTTTGGTGATCGACAGATATAATGACTTTGATGTGGAATCGGATCATTTCCTATCAGAACACATCTACAATAAACTATCATTTGGCAAAGTTGAGTTATTGCTTAAGAACTTGTTTCCCTAAAGTATGAGAATAAGCCCTACTGATTAAGCGTGATATGCTGGAAGTCAGAACTTGTCTAACATTGTCGTAACTTCATAAAATCTGTTTTCAGCTAACAGCTATATATTTGAAAAGCTTAAACTTAATTATAACTGTTCCTTTCCCAGTATGACCACTTCCATCAGTAATTTCCACTCACTAACTTTTGTCTACTACTGATTTATGCCAATGATTTGAAAAAAAATTTACAGAAAAAGGTGGCTATTGTACCCTACTAGCCTAGTGAATAACGGTTTATCGTTTGTAGTGATAAGTACTGGATTTAAGTCTGAGTGGGAACAATATCACTGACTGGAATGCTATGTCCAGCTGACGAATCTTAAGTAGAACGAAACGTGCATCTTCACTTCGACTGTTAGCCAAATAGACTAAGTTTTTGTAAACATTTTAAATATTGTTTAACAGCTGTTCATCATGTATTTATTATTGTTATTGTTGTTATTATTATTATCGTCACCAGTCCTCAGCCATCCCCAGCATTCATTCCCAAGTATGTTTTGGGTTGTTGTTTTATTTTCACTTCATTTTCTCCCTCCCTTATCCCTTTCCTATCATCGTTCTTTATTTCGTCTCTCATGAATCAGATATATATATATATATATATATATATATATATATATATATATATGTTTGTGTAAATGTATATATGGTGATGGTAATTTTTTCTTGTTGGTGAGTGTATGCTTACACAAAGATCTTATATGCTTAACTTTCATTTTAGGTGTTCGTGTTAGATTTTATTCCCCTGCTACCTAAACCCACAACTCCTTCAAAAAAACATAGCCTATTCTTTTCTTTCAAATTTATTCACCTTAAAGCATGCTTATTTGAGATGAATAACTTTGACTATGTTTACGGTCCTGGGAAGATTTGGATCAGAGGTGTTGAGGTTATCAGTTATTCCATGAAACTGAGCTACCTTAACAAGTATTAATTTCTCTTCAGTCATTGGAGATTTCACCTCGTTGCTATATGACAATATGAAGCTCTAGTTCGAATCCTAAGGCGCCTTAAGTATGTATTTCTTCTTTAATCATCAATCATTATCAACTTCGGTTAACAGTAATCAAATCAAATTAAAAGTAGAATTTATTCTCGATCATATTGAGATTATTATCCTTAGATTTAGTCGTACAGTGTTCCTTTGGTATTACCACACAATGTTTAACGTTATGACTTCGTATAGAGTGTCATATGTCGATCATCAGAGATGATTATATCAGTAGATTGATCGATAGGTAGGTTCTTTCTGTAGACAAGTTTATTTCTAAGAATGATTCGTGTCGACAGAAAGTGTGATAAGTTCTATTGTTCTAAGGAATTTGAGAATACCTATATCTAGCGTTGTATTTTGAATAAGTTATATTCAAAGTTAATGAGGCAGTGTTGTTCAACTACTATGATGTTGACAATTTATACAGACAAAAACTATGGTTTTCAGTTAGGTTTTAATCGCTTATCCCCTTGACTGCTGATGTTGATATTCCTAAGCTGTTTTGGAGTGTCTAACTGTTGATGATTGAAGGTCAAATGAAAATTTGAACCATGATCACATTCAAACCTGTGACCATCGTGTTTCCGGCTCAACGCTGTATCAGCTATGCTACGAGATCCAACTAATGAATAGATTTGTACTTCGCTTCAATTACCGAGGGTTTTTTCTGACTTCGATGTGAATTCGTGACGCGTTACTACCACCTGATCGTACTCACACTAGCTCAGTTGATAGAGTAATATGACAAACTGTATGCTATAGTTATTTATCGAATAAAATTTGGAAAATCCAGGTAACACGTCTGTCTGTCAAACGTTTGTTGTTCATACTTCCACTGAAACAGAAATACGATGAAAGTTGAGGTCTAAAAATGGAATATAAATATCATTTAAGATTGGAGGTGTGACATTGTCTGGCAATAATGATTTTATCAACTATTTGCTGAGTACATAGTAATGAATTCGTGTATACACATAATTAGAGGTGAAATAGACTGTCATTGTGTCATCAAGTGATATCTGTTTCGGATTCTATTGAGTTTTTATGTACATCTTCTTAACAAACAGGCATAAAGTAAGAGATCTTGATAAAGTATACCTTTCTCCTAATCACCTCTATCTTTCTAAGATAGCAAATAAATGCATTGGTTATCAACAAATATGTGAAGTACAGAAATTAGTTATCACTGGGTAACCGATGGTACTTCCCTACTTTTTGGTGCTCAGAGTTAATCAAGGTTTGTCGATCAATTATGCTATTTGGCCAGTAGATTAAATGACATAGCATTGTGGTTCTATGTACTTCGGTGTTAGATTTTGGGAGTTAATCAGTAATAAGCCGTGGTCGACCTGCGTTTCATACTTCTTGGAACTAATCAACAAGATATATCTACAGTTTTGAGGAGACTGGTATTTGCTCGGTGATTGAAACTTGCATCACCAAGTTCTGAGATCAAATGTCAGGTCAAAATGTTAGTTAGTTCAATCAGTGGCGTATCCTTCTTTCTGAAGCGTACACCTAGTGATACATTTGAGAATTATCAGTACGCATTTATCACTAGTAATTAAACTTTGACATAAGTTTGCATGATTTTATGTATTCTGATATCGTTTGGAGTTCTTCTCTGTTCTAAGATATGAAGGGTTCATTATTCCCCTGAAGATCTTTGTTGTTAGTTAGGACGTCGGCTCTTGTTGTTATCTCTCATGTGCATGCAGGTGAATTTGGACAAGTAATACCACTGATCATAATTGGGATGATACTTTGAAAGATATTCTATTAGGAAGATAGGCTATTAAACGGGAATATAGATATTTGTTGGGCTTACTATCGTAACCAATCTTTTAAAATGTCCACTTTCCACAACGGATAGTCTTTCTTCGATAATTCTAAGTAGTTCTTAGTACTGATACAATTTGTTAACATGTTCTGCAGCTGGTTTCCCCTTGTATAAACAGAAAAAGGGGAAGGTAGTAATAGTAGATATCAACAAAATGCGTTTAAGCAAGGAATTGTATACGATTATGAGAAAACTATTATCCGAGATGAAACTGAACAACTGAAATGCGGACTGTTGAAGGCAATAAGCAACAGAGACTATGAAATCTTAGTTGAAGCATACACTTCCCATATGATCAGTAGTTAACTCTTGTCTATTAAGTGACTTGATTCTACGATAGACTGTTTTCGATCAAACCGTTCAGTGGTGAATTCCTCCATATTAGAAGTGAGTGATCTCAGAGTCAGTCAACTTTCTACGAAATTTGGTAAGCGTCTGATAAATTATAGGAAATGATAGCTGTTGGTTTCTAGCAATTGGTTGATTTCAGTGTTATTTTCTTTCCTTGATTAACTTCTTTAGGAGAATTGTCAAAAACCATAGAGCACTAGACATCCGTTTCATTCTAGGTTGGAACTTCTCATTGGTGTGCACTCAGAACTCTGACAAACTACCAACTAAATTACTGTCCAATTCTCATAATTAACTTCAGGTTGGATGTTTTTAAAGTTCTAGTGTAGAGTGGTTATCTGGGAAAGCAGTATTAGATGATATGTTAGTGATGGATCGTGGCTAGCAGTGGAATCCAGGATGTGCACTTCGTCCTATTTGGGACTCGTCAGCTGGATGTACCTGCTTTCCAGTGAGTAATGTTGTTCCCACTGGTATTAGATAATAGTAGTGCTATGTCAAGGAATCTGTAGAAGAAGGCAAATCTAGACGTTTAACTTAAAAGCCAGTGTCTGAATGGTATCATATTCACTATAATACCTGACGGTCCTGGGTCCGACCCCTTACGAGGTTGTGGGTTTGCACTACTATGGAATAATAATCTATGCCAAAAAAAACTGTCCAGTACTTTTAGACCTTCACCAGCCCTTCAGTTGATGACAATCCTTGATGGAAACTACTTTGAGATGAATAACAGCAAAAACTTTGCTAAAGTCTGTTGAAGAACTAGTTTAGAATATGCAAGTTATGTGACGATAAGTTACTTCGTTTAGTGTACAAATTGTTGAAAGATATATTATCATTCTAAAGAAGGAAGAAATGACAAACAATGTAGAAAACAGATAAATTACCAAATATTGTTTTTAAAGTTTAGCTGTAAAGAGTTGCTAGGTGGAAGCTAAGTACATCCATGTACCAGATAGTCTAAGATCTTTTTGGTATAAATGGGTGAATTTGACCACACACAATCATGTTTTATTGACAATACTGGATTATACATAACATATACATACATACACACATACATACATACATGCATACATACATACATACATATACATAACAATCGAAGGAAACAACCAATCACAGACCACATCGTCAGAGCAAGCGACTAAATCACTCACGGAGAGATACTGACAGCTCACTTCATACTGAAGTTAGTGCTGACGATGTCGCTGTCTAGAAAGACACGATGAAAGCTTCACGATTGAACAACCTAGCTCAGAGAAAACAATACAACCAAGACCATCCACCTGAGCTACAAATATTCCCCATTATTTCAATAGTTAAGTTCAATCATATACTATCCATGAAGTGAATAAGTCTATATTACGTAATAATTCCTCTTGGGTTGGATTGCTTTTTATGAATGAATCAATCTCCTTAGGATATTTCTATTAATTGGTACAAAATCAGAGATTCAACAATTCAGTGAATATATTTGATTATCACCTTGATATCATGAATAAAAATATCATACTACAATTACTGCCTTATACAGCATACTTACTAATGAAATGATTGTTGGAATCATGACCAAGTAAAAAGTAGGAAATATTTTATCATATGTCAAACAGGATACTGAAAAAAAATTCATTATCTGTTTCATCCTTTATTATTTTAAGTTGTTATTCATCGAAGACTGACATCAGTTGGAGGAACAAAGGAAACCTGGGAGCACTGGACAGCTGTTTCGTCCCAGTATGGGACTCCTCAGCAGTGCGCACCCACGACCCCACCAGCAGGGTCGAACCCGCGACCTTCAGGTTCCGCGACCAGCGCGTAACCATTGAGCCACTGGGTCAGAATCCAATGCTCCATATTTCCAACTTCTGTTAGCTCATGGTATAGCGCAAACCACCACCCAATGTCATCGTTGAGTATTTGTCCTCACGGCCATCAGGCTTTGACTCCACTGGTCACGACTTGTCATTAGAACTTCGGGAATACTTCTCGAAGCTAGTCACCAACGAGCACTAGTTCAATTAAATTTTGAAATTTTAGAAATTTTTATTTTCTTTTTTCTTTTTTCGTGAGTATATTTTGGTCATGTTATTGTTCTATGTTTATCCCCTCATCATCAACATAGTTCAGTTATTGTTTTAAATGCATTATACCCCTTTAATAAATTCTTATTCAGAGTATTACAATACAAAAATTTTATTGTTACACATGTAAATACTAATAATTTTACTTACTTACTTACTTAGTTTGTTTAAATGCATCATTTCATTTTAATTCCTCTTCCTTGTCGTCTCATTTCAAA